TAGTAACGTGCTGGCCATGGGACTTGAAGGTCATGGGTTCGATCTCCGGAGGGGTCATGGGTGCGCACTGCTGAGTCCCATACTAGGATGAAACAGCTAGCTGTCCAGTGCTCCCAGGTTTCCTTTGTTCCTCCAACTGATATCAGTCAACGATGAATAACAACTTGAAATAAAAATACATACTAAACAAACTGACATCATAGCATTTTCTTAACTTAGTTATTCAGTATTTTAAAAGTAAAACCAAAGTCTGATTGTTTGTTCTTCTATATGATCAGTAGATATGATTTCTTCGTTTATATTGGGCTTTTTTAAATTCCAACTTAGCATATTAAGTTCATGAAATGAAGGTGTTACTCGCTAGACTTTCAGTCGACTGTAGATTTGCATATAGCATTATTAATCCTTATCATATGGAAGAGCTTATAGCTTAGTAAACAAGTGCCTGTTGGGCTAAGACCTATGGATAGATAATTTATTAAATTATGCTTTTTCTTGATCTGATTATCTCTAGTATATTTCCTAGTCTGCTTCTATTTAAGTCAGTATAAGGTGTGCTGGCGTAGTATACGTAGAAATGGCTTTATGGGTGTAGTCTATACATGTTCATAACATCACTAAGATAATTATGAATTTAGAATTATTCATGAAGTTAACAATTAGAAAAATGAAGATGCAAACAGATCAATACAGTAATTATATAAGATTGATGAAAGTGTCAAATAAAGTAGATGGGCTATTTTTGAGATGAGTGGGGATTTTCCAACTTAGAAGTACTGTTGAGTAGTCCCATACTAGAACGAAGCAGCTGTCCAGTGCTCCCAGATTTTCAATGGTTCCCTAACTGATGTCAGTCCATGATGATTACTACTTCTCAATTAAAAAGAAACTATTCATCTCAAAAATACATTACTGTATAGTGCTCATTAGTGACTTGCTTCCAGAAGGATATCAGGAAGCTGTAATGAGAAGCAGTGACCTGTGGGGTCAACCAGTTGGAAGTGAAGTGGAGTGGGTGCTAACTGAAGACCTTGGGTGACAGTCGCGTTATATCGTGAATTGATAGAAGTTATAAATTGTGAACTGCTGGGAACCGACTCAGTGGCTCAATTGTTAACGTATTGGCGGTGGGTGCGTACTACTGAGGAGTCCCATACTAGTTGGACGAAACGGCTGTCCAGTGCTCCCAGATTTTCAATGGTTCCCTAACTGATGTCAGTTCATGATGATTACTACTTCTAAATTAAAATCCCCATTCATCTCAAAAATAAATTATATAATAATAAGGAGATAGAAAATTAAAAAGATGGGTAATGTTAACTAAAAGGGGAGGGGTTCACTTGTGAATAAATTATAGTATATTAGGGACGTCAATTCTACCCAGATGACCAAGCTAATGCAAAGTTGTACCAATTTCTTCAAAATACAAAAATTTGATTTGTACATGTTTAGCAATAGCTTTTGTTGTATGTGGGAAGCGAATACATAAATGACGCCAAAGACTGGATGTTATACTATAAACAACTGTAAAAACCTTACTTTTATTCATTTTATGATCAATCTGAACTGAGTACTGAGCTTTTTATAACATACATCTGTCCTCGACCCATTCATACTGGATGGTGTTCAGATATTCTACAACGAACATATCTAATTGTACACCCTATTTAAGTAGCTCCACAGCAGAAGTTAAGGTGATAAATATACATAGAACAGGCAGAATCAGGAAGTGTAGCATGATACCGTCCACCTGTAATTGGCTGGCTACACAAGAAAGAATATAACTTCGAAGCGTATAACCTCATCAGTAATATCACCATTGGATTTAGATTTTAAGAGAACTGGTCTCTTAGAAACTGTAGGTATGTTTGATTTAACTCTTGTAAGTATACATTTTGTTTCTAAAGACCGACAGAAATAAAAGGCATAACTTCATGAAAGCTTATTACTTCAAGTTCATACCTGTTGCAACAGTTACAAATGAAAATGGATGGTAACTGAAAGATGTTAAATGAAGTGAAATGATTGAAAATGTGAGTGAAACATATTTGTGTACAGGAAGATCCAGAGTGAATGAATTTTCTTCAACATGATCAATTCTAAGTTATGTTATCATAGATCTTTTCTCACTCATTACAAGAAGATGATAAGAATCAATTTACAAATAGTAAAAAACATGTACCTATCTTTTTTGCTGTACTCAGTAGTGATCAAATTTTCCTTTCTTCTGTTCATTCATATTTTAATGAAACTTAGCTAACGCCACAGTGTTTCAGGGAATCTTAAAACTGTGTGAATATTCACTGTAAGATGATTAACTCAGAAACAAGATTTCTTTGAAGATTTTGAATATCTCTATCGAAATAAGTAGTTTCACCAAGTTCTTGTAATTAATGTGAAAGATAATCCTGACACTGTAGTAATCATTCTACAAATACATTTCATTTCACTTATTTCTATTTGATAAACCAATAACAATTCGAAACTACTTCTAATTATCTAATTATCTAATTATTAACCAAGACTGACGCAGAGACAACAGCGGACATGCTCACACCACTACTGCAGAAGGTTTAGAAGGAAGGAAAGGTACCTGCAGATATGAAGAAGACCTATCTTGTCAAACTCCCAAAGAAGAGAGACCTAAGACTTCTGCAAGAACTGGCGAGGAATCATGCTGCTGTCCATTCCAAGCAAAATATTATGCTGCATCATCCTGGAGAGACTAAACAATGCTCTGGATTCAAAATTACCACCGGAACAGGTTGGCTTTAGGAAACACAAATCATGTGCAGATCAAATTGCAACACTACACATCATTATTGAACAGAGAATAGAATGGCAGTCAACTCTCTACTTCAACTTTATCCACTTTACAAAGGCCTTCGACACCGTCGACAGACAAGTAATTTGGCAACTGTTTCAACACTACAGTTTTGGTGCTACAAATCTTTATCAGCCTCATTCAACAACCATATGAAAAGGTCACATGCCGAGTGATCCACAATGGACGCCTTTGAAGTGAAGACAGGAAGGAGTAAGATGAGGCAGCCACCTACTATCACTGATCATCTTCCCGATTGTTGTCAGTCGGAACATGCAGTTAACTGTGAGGAGCTGTGAGAAGGTGAGCATACGTTGTTTCACTGATGAAAAGACACTGGAAGATTTGGATTTCGTCACCGATGATTCACCTCTTGTCACACAAATTTGAGGATCTACAGGCAAAAACCAACAAGTTTACAGAAGGGGCGAGGCAGCGGAAACGGGACTTCAAGTGAATGTAGAGAAGAAGAGGTGATGAAGATACAAAACCAACAACAAGCATCAATCAACATGAACGCGAAAAACTTAAAGGAAGTAGTCTCTGTCACCTACTTACCCACCTAACTAGGCAGCATCGTTTTAACTACAGGCGGCACAGGCACAAACTAGGACGTCAAAGCCAGCCGAGATCGGAAAAGAAAGACAGGTGTTCATTAACTTGAAACCAGTGTGGAGATCTACTGTACTCAGCATAAAGCGTGAACAACATTCGGATTTTCAACACTGACGTCAGTCAAGTCAGTGCTTCTGTGTGGTTCAGAGACTTTGTGTGTTACGAAAGAGATTTCCAACAAACTACAGACATTCATCAACAGTTGCCGCCTACGCTTACTAGATACTGAAGATTAGATGGATGGTCAAAATAATAAGAATAAGCAGATAGGAACTCTGGTTGGTGACGAACCAACGAGGCAACGACCTATCACTGAACAAATATGCAGTGGAAGGAAGTGGAGATGGATTGGGCATACACTGAGAAGGCTGACTGGGGACATCATGCACCAGGCCAAGCCCTCGAGTGGAATCCAAATGGGAAACAACAAGTCGAGCATCCGAGTCTAGGGTGACATGGAGGAGATGATGTGAGGAAGAAATGAAAGGTTGTGGGCGTTCGTGACGCTAGGTTGAAAAGACTGCAGAGAAGAGAGTGTAATGAAGGGATGCTACTGAAGCCCTATTTTTCACTAGGAACCCAAGGGAAAATAAAATTAATAATAACCAAGGCTGCTTGTCCAACAGACTAAACATGGAAAACTATATTACCATCCAGTTCAACGGAATTCATTTTTAGCATTATTTTAATGTAAAAGCATCAAACTACCTTACAGATCATAGGTATTATTCTTATCATGAAGTATTACTGAACGATAATGGATAAGTTAGGGAAATCGAGTAGTTGTAGGCATTATCTGAGATGATCATGTTTTAGTAGCCTAATACTATGGATACTGAGTGATGACTGAGAGTAAAATGAAAATCTGAGTCGCAGCAGCAGTGGACTCTGAATCACTGACTAGGTGACCTAGCAGCTGAGCTGTGAAACTCAACTGTTGACCAGATCTTAACTTCAGTTATTGGCGTTTTAGTTCTGCTGCCATATGGTTAGTGGTCCGAAGCCTTCCACAACTCAGGTATTCATTTCACGTTAAAATTGAAGTGTTGTGAAGTTATTATGCTTTGAAAATGTTAGGTTCTAAAACCTTTAGGTGTTATATCAGCACTTCGAATGGGTTTTCGCTGAAAAAATACAATAGTGGAACAAAACTATGATAAGTGGTTGTTCTAAGACTTTGTTTTCTTAAGCTACCCAAAAGGATAACAATGTGGATAGTTAAGAAGAGATATTACTGATGATACCATCGTTGATTGGACCGCATTGATCGGTCTCTATGGGCATATGGGCTCCTGTACGGATGCCTCGATATTGCCAGTGTTCTAATTATGTTAATGATAGATTGTGGCCAGCTGACGAGTCCCAAATAGCAGGATAACCTGGTTTCAATAGTCAGTTACCATCAAATAACAGTAGTTGGTTACAACTAGTGATCATGCTCCCTAGTTGATGCTTTTTCTCTTCTTTCAGTAATGCAAAATCTTTCTGCAATTGTGTTGTATTTTGTTATAAGGCATTTATTGATCAGATGGATTTGAAATTCTCAAATATTGATTGGTTTCTCAGTGAATTAATTTGGATAGACCACGACTAACTGTAAATTTGTTCAGTAAATATGTCTTCCGTAATGGAAGGTAAGATGATAACACAACATGTTTACGGAAAATTACTAACAATAATCTTCTAAATAGATAATAAATCATTATTGTGTGTGGAATGGGAACCGGGAATAAGTCTACATAACTTGGTAAGTTTCTGTTGATCACTGTACCAGTAAATATCACAAACTTGAGTGCTGATCTAGTTGTGAGGGCGGTTGACACTTCCCGGCTGCCCATACCATGGAAGGCTATTTCTTCTTAAGGTACCTGAAAGAGATTTGTGTGACCACAGAGCCTATCGGACATCTGTTTGAGGTCTGTCACACGTAGCCTTTTGTGTATGACTATTTTGAACTTTTGTATTTGTGCTGCCGGATGGTCGACAAATGAGCCAACACCACCTGCCCGGCAGACTGTGGGGCATGGTGGAGTGTGCTGTTTTTGGGGCCGACCTTTTTTAACCCCCTCTTCCACTGAGAAGGCAGCATCAGCATGGCACTACTGGTCATCCAAGGGAAACACCTTACTGCTGTCACAACCCATCCAGCTAGCAGCAGTACGACTTTGCCCTCAGACCGTCATCGTAGTGTAGCAATTTACACCAAAATGGTAACTGCTTTTCGTCTTACCACTATCCAATAGTCCTTTCTGGTACAATAGGACCTCAAGAGAACAAGCGTTCCACGAGCATAGCTTGTTGGGTTATTGTGACATGCAAGTCCGACCATCACGTCAAGGTAGCAGCTATCACTACTTTTCTACTTGATGCACTGATGTACTGAGGTGTGGCAACTCGAACCGTTACGCAGTAATGCCTGGTCCTATGTTGATATTGATGATGAAATATCACAAGCATTATTTCATATGTACGACAATTGCATGCCAGTGGTAAAATAGATTTACTTTACATGGTACAACTCACTTTTAGACATAGTTAAACTCTACCAATCAAGTTGATGACGTAATTACTAGGATAGGCTGCTCAGGATAGTAAGAGAGTACTATTCATGGCAGTAATCCTGAGCTTACTGACACTCATCAGCACATTATATCTGCAGACGAGATGGAACATATTTTTATTCAGTTTTTAAATCTGACCAAGTACAAACTAGGTTAAAGAATTTTTCTTCTCTGTACTTGCATCGAATAATACTTCACCTCTGGAAATTTAGTTTTTAGCAGTATATGACTGATTTTTCAGCTATATTTTTGCAAATGTCTACAATTTCCCAAAACAGGTTATCTGTATTCATGAAGATTTTTGTCTAACCTATAGATACTTCTTAAGTAGGATTATTACTCAAATTGTTTCCAAAAAAACATGTTGGTGTTGTGTAAACTTAGTTGGTTTAATACTGAGATAAACTACTTGCGCAACAATTGGCATAGTGTAATGCATAGTAATAAAATATTGTATATCCTGTTGAAATTACCTTCTCGGTTGAATCACTATGACTGAATTCATCACACTTTATCCAGATTTGTTGTCAGTAAATCATTATAGCACAGAGATTATCAGTCCATTTGATAAAAATAAAAAGTTTCTAATAAATTATTCATTCATTTTATTCATTAATGAAAGAATATCAAATGTAATACGTGTCAGTGTATGGTTTGATTTATTATAATGTGGATGAAGTAGCATTTGGGAAGTTTCGTAACACCATGATTGCACATAATCCTGTTATGCGAGCTTATGGAAATGGTGAATTTCTAGGTATAGCCAAGGTAAGCGATTGCTTATTTATGAAGTATAATTCAGCGGACACAATTTTTCTTTTTCGACGATATCATTTTCTAAAGCTGTACAATCGTATTTATATATATATATCATAAGCATATAACAGTCTATTATAAAACAATAGGGTATACTTTCATCATTAATCTAGTGCAATAAAAATGCCGGAATCAAGAATGCAAAGTAATTACGTAATAATCTTAGACAGTAGAAATAACAATGAAGGCAAGGAGTTTGACGAGGTGAGAATTGTTGGTAGATGAGAAATGCGAATATTGAGTTTCCACTCGATAGATAGATGGATGTAAAGAAGGTGAAGAATGAGACAAGAGTGATAATAATAAACTAACTAATCATAGTGAAATTGAAAAATATGAAAGTGTTAAGATTATGGTAAGATAAGAGATTGAACGTGGTTCTTTTGCATCCAGAGATCAGGTTTGAATTGATGAATTGTCAGTGCTTCCGCTGTGCATAACTGAACTATTCCATTTGGCTCGACAAATGACATTGCTGGAGGATTCTGGTCGAGCTACATGTCCAGAGTTAACCAAATGTTCAAGAATTAAACAGTTAGTTGATTTACACTTTCCCCTCGATAACCATGCAGGATAGTGCTCAGAGATACGTCTGGGAAGTATGTGCCTAAAGTGGTAACTTGTTCTTAATGTACTCCGGAATCAGTTGCTGACTAGAGAAGCTGCTTTGCAAAGAAGAATGTCTTCTTTAGTGATGTGGACAGCTGATTCTTCAGGATCTCGACTGCCGTATCGGCTTTGAAACCAACGTTCACAAACATTGTCTTCTTAGGAACTGTGAGTGCTTGCTTCCTATTCTCATTTACGTTCAAGTTCTTATCAATAAATCTGGATGGGTATCCATTTTGCATGAGGGTCTTCCGTAGTTTGTCTAATTCATCGTCGATAGTATCACTCGTGCAGATTCTTCTAATTCTTGAAGATAAAGAATGGATCAGACTCCTTTTCCTGCTAAGAAGCACCCAGCTATGGAAACTCATATTGTCCATTCCATGTAGGCTTCCTATAAATTGATCGCTGAAGAAGACCATCTGGTCTCCGTTTCAATAAAACATCGAGAAAATGCAATCCTGAGTTCTCGTCAAATTCTGATATGAAGTTGATCGATAGGTGACAATCATTGAACTTTTTAACTACAGTCCCAATATCTGTATATTGATCGCATATGATGAATGTGTCATCCATATATCTTTTATATAGGTAGAAACTATCGATTGTTGAATACAACACACCATTTTCTAGGTTCACCATAAAGGGACCAGCACTAGGTTAATGATGCAATTATACCCTATTGTTTAATAATAGACTTATATGTTTATGATGTTATTGTGATTATTATTTTTCCTTTGGGTTCCTAGTGGAACCTAGGGCTTCAGCAGCACGCCTCCACTGCACTCTGTTTTCCGCAGTCTTTTGAACCTGGTGTTTATGATATATATATATATATATATATATATATATATATATATATATATAAAAGATTGCATAGCTCTAGAAAATAATATTGTCGAAAAAGAAAATTCTCTTCACTGAATTATCTCTTTTCTCTAACAAATATAAGTTTTTATAAAATGTTTACGAAAACATTTAACTACTTGCAAGTAATAAATATTTGTAGTGTAAAATATTAACGTGACGAAATTATATCAGTTATCATTATTAATCGGTGTACATGTTCAAGCAGAGAAAACGAGTACTATCACCTTAAGTAAATAACGTTTAGAGTGAAGTCTGTTCCTTAGTGGGGGTTTCGATTTTAAAGAGGATTGTTCGGAGATATCTTTTAAGTTATGGAGAACATTCAAAATTGTTTTTTTTTATTTCTGATTTGTTATTACATCAATTCTTTGTCGTGTGCATTTTTATCATGTATTCTTTAACTGCTATAGTTAATTTACCCATAACGGTCTGTAGACTCTTGTTGTTCATTCTGGATACTTGGATTGTATACCTATGTTGGTATACGAAATTTCTATTTGGATACCTTATTATTATTGTCTCAGCACAACTATGAGTACTCATTCGTATTTAATTACGAACAATCAGTGAGTTGAACATGGAAGGCACTATGTATTTCTGTCACTTTTAAAGAAACGAAGGGATTGTTACTTGATTTGTTCATTTAATCATAGATCATACTTGTAAAGTATTAAAAGAAGTTTTATGCTTCGAAAGACAAGATTTTGAAGTAATTGAATACTATTTCGGATTATTAGGTAAAACTGAAGACTTATTATTATCATTCGACTATCTGAGATAGCCGTAGTTTGGCAGACTAGTATTTATATTGGGTGATAATTGAAGGTGAAATGAAAGTCTGGACAGCGACCTAACTCTAACCAGCGACCACTGGGTCACCGGCCTAGTTCTCTACCAACTGAGCTACGAGGTCCAATTGTTAATCAGAATTTTATTTCGCTTCAATCACCAAGGGTTTCGCCCAACTACCTTCAGTCATCACCCAGTATAAGTACTAGTCTGCTAAACTACGGCTGTCTGAGATAGTCGAATGATAATCAATATGATGATCCCCCTTTATGATTCAGTTTGATTTGGATTGTATTGAGAAGTCCTGACTAGGCAGCCAGTGTGAATACGATCAAGCGGTAGTAAGGCATCATGAATTCACATGGTAATCGGGCAAAATCTTTAGTGATTGAAGTGAAATAAGAATCTGGTCAGCAGTCGGACCTCGTAACCTAGTTGGTAGAGGATCGGGCCAGAAACCCGGTGGTTGCTTGTTCGAATCCGGCCTTGGTTCAGGTTTTCATTTCACTTTCAATCATCACCCAGTATACAAAGATTTTTTATTGCATAATAAACGCACTATGCATATAACAGTGTTTAACGAAGATGTTTCTAATTATGGTTAGCATTAAAACAAAGTGAATTGTCTACTCATTTAAGTTTGCATCAATTGTATATCATTGTATAATGCCAGTAATAATTTGTTTGTGAACTTTAAGATACTTTGACGATACCTTGACTTTCCCTAAATCGAATTGATAAAAATATTTCAAGGGAGTCGTGGGGATTTGGAAATATTTCAAGTTGTTATTCATTGTGGACTGACATCAGTTGGAGGGACAAAGGAAACCTGGGAGCACTGGACAGCTGTTTCGTCCTAGTATGGGAATCCTCAGCAGTGTGCACCCACAACCCCACCAGGGGTCGAACCCGAGACCTTCAGGTTCCGTGGCCTGCACGTTACCATTGAGCTAGCCACTGGGTCGAAACCCAACCGCCCGTTGGTGACTAGCTTTCAGAGGTATTCCCCAAGTTCCAACGAGAAGTCGTGACCGGTGGGGGCAAAGCCTGATGGTTGTGGGGACAGTTACTCAACGATGACATTGGGTGGTGGTTGCGTTAAATCGTGAGCTAAGAGAAGTTGGAAATATGGACGGTTACATTCTGATCCAGGGGCTCACTGGTAACGTACTGGCCACGGGGCCAGCCAGCCAGCCAGGGTTCCTTGTTGCTTATTCTTATTATTCTGACCATCTGATCATCTCCAGTGTCAGTATAGAGTGAGCCTAGATGGTAGCTGTTGATGAATATCTGTAGTTTGTTAGAAATACTTTTTGTGACGCGGCAAGTTTCAGCCTTTAACTAGTGTTTATTTTGAGACTGTTTGACTGATTATTTATTTTGTATGATCATAAAAAACTATAGTATAGCATACGAAGTTTGCTGGTGATCAAGGAACATTTCAAGATAGATGGAGCTACAGTATATAGTTTAGCTTGTCAAGGTGAACATGTATCCCAAGCTATAAAGCAAGATGTGTCTAGTAGAATGTTAATCCCTTTTTCATCTTTATTAATTTCCTATATACGTTATTAATTGTTATAGACAAATACTGGTTCTTACGAGAAAGAATGTGCTCACGGTTTCTGCTTCAAAGTTTCCGTCTTTAGCTTGATAACCTATTTCTTCATCAAAATCAACATTATGATTTCTTCAAACGAATAAAAAATTAAAAGAAATCTCTTATACATCCATACATCCATAGAAATTACTCCATGATTCACTATAAATCTGTTTTTATATACTTGAAATCTAAAGGTTATATGATAGATACATAAGAATAGACCAAATTACTAGATAGTACTTACAGCTTTAATATATTCATGAAAATTATTTAATATTATTAAATACATTGCCTATTCAATAATGTTATTAATAATAAAACATATTACTATTATTTAAGATTAACAGACGCTGTACTATTCAATATTGAATTGAACAAAGTATATTTTATGATAGCTAAAATGATAGACTAAAATATAAATCGATTTAAATTTTTGAGGGGGTTGTGGAGATTTGGAAATATTTCAAGTTGTTATTCATCGAAGACTGACATCAGTTGGAAGAACAAATGACCTTGGGAGCACTGGACAGCTGTTTCGTCCACAACCCCCTCAAAAAAATTTAATTGAACTGGTGCTCATTGGTGACTAGCTTCAAGAAGTATTCCCGAAGTTCCAATGACAAGTCGTGACCGGTGGACTCAAAGCCTGATGGCCATGAGGACATATACTCAACGATGACATTGGGTGGCGGTTGCCCTATATATCGTGAGCTAACAGAAGTTGGAAATATGAAGCATTGGATTCTGACCCAGTAACGCGCTGGCCGCGGAACCTGAAGGTGGCGGGTTCGATCCCTGGCAGGGTCGTGGGTGCGCACTGCTGGAGAGTCCCATACTAAGATGAAACAGCTGTCCAGTGCTCCCAGGTTCCCTGTGTCCCTCCAACCGATGTCAGTCTACGATGAATAACATCTTAAAAATATTTTAGTTAATCACTGAAAATAGTAAAGTTTTATTAAATTTGATTTTAAGTTGGTACTTATCATGGGCTTACATCAGCTGAAGAATCATTGAATAGCTAAGAATAGTAGACAGCTGTTTCGTCCATACTCGGGATTCCTCAGCAATGAACATCTATTACCCTGGTGTTTAATGCTCTCAGGTTTTCAATGATTCTACAACTGATCCCAGTCCCTGATAGGTACCAACTTGAAGTAGATGAATCCCTATGAACCTTCAAACTAGACTGAATTTTACTGATTTGTGTTTTATCTATTATTTTTCACTTAATTTTAGGATATTTGTTGTATAGAGGGTGTATTTCCTAAGAATCAAAATATTGGCATTCTAACATTTGATCGTACTGAAGAAGCTTATAAATGTTTTGAATCTAAGATTGAACTACGTGAACCACATCATTATGGTGGTCATGAACTATATATAGTTCCTTTATGTAATCCAGCTCAATCATGGCCAGGTAAAAAAAAGTAGTTATTCGAGATCCTTAGTTAAATGATTCGTAATATATCATTATTACGGTTATTATCATAAAAATGTAATTACTTGGTGAACATAATATGTCATAGAAGACCATATTCTGTATGGATTCTTCATGTTATTGAGTACTTGGTTTCATATGCACAATTAATGTTTATTTAGTATAGACAATATGGAGTTTATGTATGGAGGGAGTGAATTTTCTAACTGATATGAGATCAGAGTTACTGAAGATTATTGATTTTTAAATGTTATATTTTTTTATTTAGCTCATCACTTAGCATCCTTAATATTCATGATACTTGTAGCAGAGAATAGGAAATAAACCGCCGTTACAAGTAAATTTTATAATAGGAATTGGAAAGAAGTACTATTATTATTATTTGTCCTTTGGGTTCCTAGTGGAACATATGGCTTCACTAGCACGTCTCCATTACACTTTCTTCTCTCCAATCTTTTGAACCTGTCTCCATGACTGGCCACAAGCTCTCATTTCTTCCTCACACCATCTCCTCCATGTTACCCACACCTCGGACGTCCAACTCAACGTTTCCCATCTCGGTTCCACTTGACGGCCTGGCATGGAGCTTGATGTCCCCAACTGGCCTTCTCAGTGCATGCCCAATCCATCTCCACTTTCTTCCAGTGCATATTTGTTGTGTGATAGGTTCTTGATTGATTCGTTATCAGCCAGCCAGAGTGAGTTCCTTGTTGCTTATTTTTTCTGGCCATCCATCTGATCTTCAGTATCGAGTAAGCGTAGGCGGCAACTGTTGATGAATATCTGTAGTTTGTTGGAAATGCCTTTCGTAACACGCCAAGTCTTTGAACTATATAGCAGCACTGACTTGACATTAGTGTACTACTATTATCGATAAACTTTAGCAATGTCTTTACTGGTTTATTTCAAACCACCGTTTTCTAACCCTTCAATATATGAGTTAGATAAATATGTCACAAGTATTGGAATTGTATTGGAATAATTCGCATAAGAAGTTATTAACGCATAGCATTGTAAAGACAAATTGACGTACAAGACCACCATGATTTTCAGTGAAAGATGCCTAGGAAGAGAGATTATGTTAGATCTTTCTTTCACTGAACAAATTGTATCTCATTAAAATTATCGCTAGTCTTTAGAGTTGAAGAGCATGGAAAACTCCTAGAAGTCTTAATTCACTTTTTAAAATAAAAATCACTATCATTGTCAATGCTGTTCCATGAAAAAGGTGGTAAGCTTACATGAGTAATATCTTTTATCTTTTATTCAATAATAAATAAATTGTATCTCAACAACTGCGTGAATTTCTGTGAACTTAGCTATAAGCCCCACCTATTGTTTACCTAACTATGCAAACATTGTTAGGAGGTGGAGTGACGTTCGGATATATGGTCCACTTGCCGAAATTCGACTGCTTAAATTAGAAAAAAAAGAAGTTCGAAGTTCACTCAACAACCTTCTGGATATTCTTGCAGTAGGCAAGAACCACATCTATTGTAAAAGGGGTTAATAATGCTACTGTCTAGCGGTCCAAACATTGGTAGATAGAATGGGGTTTGTACCTGTAATGCATTAGTCAAAATTCATTTTTTCTAGAGCAATAAGTCACAATTCCACATTGCTTAGACCAATGAGCCGCAGCTTCACATTAGGGACTGGTTTACAGTCAAGAAATTCAAACAGATCTTGCCATTAGTTATCAACCACTTAATAATAGGTGGACTTAATTTCTTATTGAAAAGTCATCTAGATTCACTGAATGAATTCACCGTGAACAGGCTCAACATACCTAAGTTTTTCTAATGATGCATCAAGTCTTGTAAAAACGTTTTAAACTTTCAGTATTGTGAAACCTTTTTTAATAGACTCCTTTTGTATCTATCATTTTAAATAGAAATCCAGTAATCGTTTTATCATTGATCTATTACAGTATAACTGATAAGGTTGTTAAAATAGCTTATCTCTGAACTTCAGTAGATGTAATACGGTGAAGTTTCCTTGATTTTTTTAGGCTACTAATCTATGCACAGCAATAATGATGTGTTATTTTTGATACATCTGTATGGTCTTACTTATCTTTGTCACTGAGTGTAATACTACTTAGTAGTTTCAAAATTACAACTGATAAAGGATTATCAAGGCGTCATGAACTGCATAAAATCGAACAGAGGTTATTACATTATTATTTGTCCCTTCGATTCCTAATGGAACATAGGGCTTCAGTAGCACGTCTTCACTCCACTGTCTTCTCTGAAATCTTTCCAACTTGGTTCCATGACTGCCCATAAGCTCTCATTTCTTCCTCACATCATCTCCTCCATGTCACCCTCGCCACGGACGCCTAACTCATCGCTTTTCATCTGGGTTCCACTCAAGTGCCTGGCCTGGCGAGTGACGTCCCCAGTCAGCCTTCTCAGTGTATGCCCAATCCATCTCCACTTCCTTCCACTGCATATTTGTTCAGTGATAGGTTCTTGCCTCGTTGGTTCGTCACCAACCAGAGTTCCTATCTGCTTAGTCTTATTATTCTGGCCATCCATCTGATCTTCAGTATCTAGTGAGTGTAGGCAGCAGCTGTTTGATGAATATCTGTAGTTTGTTGGAAATCCCTTTCGTAACACACAAAGTCTCTGAACCACATAGAAGCACTGACTTGACTGACGTTAGTGTTGAAAATCCGAATGTTGTTCACGCTTTATGCTGAGTACAGTAGATCTCCACATTGGCTTCAGGTTAATGAACACCTGTCTTTCTTTTCCGTTCCCGGCTGGCTTTGACGTCCTCGTTTGTGCCTGTGCGGCCTGTAGTTGAAACAGTGCTGCCTAGATAGGTGTAGGTGAAGGAGGCTACTTCCTTTAAGTTTTTCCTGTTGGTAGTGATTAGAGCTTGTTGTTGATGGTGGTGGTGTTGGATTGGCATCTTCATCCCCTCTATCTTCTTTTTAATAAGTTATGATCTAAGTTGTGAGTTTTATTCTTCATGCTTACAACAATCAACTACTGAATTCAATTTAGCTTAAATTTCCTCTCCATTTGGCTAAAGTTTAGTCTTAAAAAAGCTAACAAATTCACTTTTTACAAGTGATTGATTGCAAATTACAAATGTTAAAGTTCAATGAATTTATTTTAAAAGAACTAACGTACTGATTTACCTGGTTGTGGCTAGCGAGAGAATCCAGGATGTGCCTTTCATCCTATTCAGGACTCACTAGTCAGCTGGATGTACCTGCACCCCAGTGAGTGTTGTTATTCCCACTGAGACTCTACCCTCGTAACCATCGCTTCAAACGCCAAGGGGTTATCAGCTAGACCAATGGGGCATGATAACCACCTTTTTGGACAGCGGGTATCAGTTATTTCTATCTGTTGATATGCTAGTAATTTTCCGTTGTCATACTGGATCAAATTGTTCAACCTCTATTGGCATATGGGTTCCTATGCGTATGCTTCAATAATGCCTGAATATTTATTACAATAAGTTACTTGGTTGTGATTAGCAGAATATTGATTATTTGTATTTTAGGGAAATAGAGATACACATTCTGAGGAGAATTTAAAAGGCTAGTTTTAACTGCCTTTGATTTCATAACAATATCCTTAGTTCAGTGGTAGATCGTGGCTAGCAGTGGAATCCAGGATACGCATTTCGTCCTATTTGGGACTTGTTAGCTGGATGTACCTGCCGACTCCCAGTGAACGATGTTGTTCCCACCGGGATTCGGACTCGGGAGCTATCGCTTCAAACGCCAGGGCGTTATCCACTACACCGCTGAACCACGATAGCCACTTCCTGTGCGACGGGTATAGTTTTAATATAATTGTTTTTATATGATACCGTCGTTGCTTGGAGCGAATATTTACATAATAATTACAAAGCAGGTAATATCGAGGCACCCGTACAGGAGCCCATATGCTAATAAAGACCGATCAGTTCGGCAGGTACATACAGCGGACGAGTCCCAGACAAGACGAAATGCGCATCTTGGATTCCACTGCTAACCATGATCCATCATTAATATAATCACAAGTATGTAGATGAATAGTAATAACTACTACCCGTTGTAAAAGAAGTGGCTGTCCTTCCTCCGTGGCACAATGAATCACACTTTGGTATTTGAAGCGATGCTTACGAGGTTCAAGTCTCTGTGGGGACAACAACGCTCACTGGGGTGTAGGTGCATCCAACTGACGAGTCCCAAATACGACGACGACTGGTATCCTAGATTCTTCTGTTAGCCATAATCAACCAAATTACCGGCTTACTTTAATATTTAGTCTTTTTAACTGCAGCTTAAGTACTGTTTTATTTCTAAATCAATCAATAATTTAACAAATATTTTGATCAAACAACAGGTATATTTAATTTATCATTGAATATATTTTATTTCATAGGTTATCGTTATATTCAATTGGATATATATGAAACTAAAAATTCTATATTATTCACTAAATATGTTAATCAATTAATAAATATCATAACATGTCATGGTGGTCATGTTATAGCTGGTTCAACGCAAACAGGCCATTTTTTAGGCTTACGAAAAGCATTATTTCTCTTTATTGTTCAATGGAGGAATAGTGATTCATTTTTTGAATGTAATAAAGAAGGTAAGTGAATTAAGGAAATATATTTAAATTTTTTAAAATTAACTGATTCGCAAAGTAAGATTACTATGATAAATTGGTTGGTTGTGGCTAACAGAAGAATCCAGGAAGCGCATTTCATTCTATTTGGGACTCGTTAGCTGAATGTACTTGCACCCAAGTGATGTTTTTCCCACTGGGACTCGAACCTCGTACCCATAGCTTCAAACTCCAAGACGTTATCTAATATGCCACGGAGGAACGATAGCCACTTCTTGTACAACGGGTAATAGTTATTAGTCCCAGTGGGAACAACATCACTGGGGTGCATCCAGCTGGCGAGTCGCAAATAAGACGAAACGCGCATCCTGGATTCTTCTGCTAGCCACATTCAATCAATTTATCATAATTAACATTCAGGCAATATCGTGGTATCCGCATAGTATTTCATATGCCAATAGAGGTCGAACAATTCGATCCAACAAAACAACGGAGAATAACAAGTGTCAGTAAATAGTAGTAAGACTACTACTTTATACAGTAAGGTAGTTTGTTATTTAATACAAATGGACCAATAGGTGAACAGACAGATATACCATCGTATATGTATGTACACAAGGGAATCTATCCAAGTTTCTGTTCTTAGCAGTAATACACAAAAACAAAAAATGATGTAGAATTATATCAAACTGAATGAGAAATCTATATTGACGATAAAGAATGAACAATGAAGCTGATGAAATATTTTAATTTTAGGTGATGAATAATGATTATATCTTTGCTACTATGACTGAGCTTCATTCATAACAGTAAAACACTTTAAGTATTGATTCTTAGCATCTAGAGTTGTAGTCAGTTAGCTGATAGTACTTAGCATGCCTCAGAATAACAATGGGACGTTCCATAGATAAGTTACATTTCTTCTAAAACAGTCTTAGTCCAGCTAACCTGATAGATACTTGCTACTCTGATGTGGTGGTCTATTTTGCATACTACGAGAACCTAACAGCCTATGCTGGTGAGAAAACGTTTTCTTTGAGGATCTAACATAACAGAAAGGTCTTTTGAATTTTGGCCAGAAAAATGGCAGTTACCATCATGGTGTAAATTACTATACTTTGAGAGGAGTCCGGGTGAGAAGTCGTATTGCTGGTTTCATGGGTGTATGTGGCATCAACAAGGTGTTTTCTCTCGGATGATCAGTAGTATGTGCTAATGTTGCCTTCCTGATGTGAGGAGAGAGTTAGGAAAGTCAGACCCCAAAGTAACAGACTTCCGTTTCCATGTGTTGTTCTGTTGTTGGTAGTATGATTTTGTAAGTGGATTTAAGACGATCAGTGGTAAATCTGAGGAGGTATGTGTGAACATCATCCTCGAGCAGTCGTCCTATGAGCTTTGCGGTTACGGTTTACTGTTACCAAAACAATTTCTTTCCTAAGTGTCCCAAGAAAAAGTAGCCATCGAGGATTTGGAGAACTGACTGTCATCGCAATTCTGTCGGTATTCAAGTTCCCTCTGATGACTATCAAGCTTGAACATCAATGTTTACCATCTTATTTCTGTTCATATCCGTTGGTGAATATTCCTCAGTCATGTTTAATGTTTCTCAGTTTTGGAACCGTTGATAATTATTCGAGTTTAAGAGACGGCATTTCCATTTTCTTGAGTGTAACTTTAATCTATGTATTGAAACTTTCAGTGTCGGCACTCTGTTGAATGGAGCAGGATGTTTCGTTGATCAGAGGTGTATCATATCGGGCCATGAATATATACTGAGTTTGTGGGATATTAAGACAGGGGTTGTGTGTGATTATTGACATCAACTCAGTGGGCGGCTAGTATAGTGTATGTTTGAGATTCATTCTTGGAGATTCACTCCTAGAGATTCCATGATTAGTTGTTGTTGTGTTTCAGGTGTAGGTGTATATCATTGATTCGTAGTTGCGAAAGTGCGCTGCCTGACTGAATCCCAGTTGATAGTGACCTATAGGTTGTTTGATTGAACTGTGCAGTGGGGACTGTTGATTGTAATGAAACTAGGTGCTTTCTCTTTGTAGTGTGTGTTTAGGCACCTACTGACTGGATTCAGAATAAAGTGGTGGCACCTAATGGAAGTCAAACTTTCGACCGTGGTATTTGAAACTGGTGATTTAAATGCTCAGTGGGTAGGCCAGGTTAAGCAGAAGGGCACTAGAGTTACATTTTTGGAATCCCAGATGAGCGAACGGAAAATGGAGATCTCCTGTCTTGATTGTGGTTACACAGCCATCTGCTGGTTGCTAGGACAAACTTCAAGCATGAAGAGAAACCTTGTCTGATGAAGGATTGAGCGAACTGAAGTCGAAGGTGTACGCAGATGCAGGTGGACTATACTGCCATCAGTTTTTGCTATAAAGAGTGTTTAGAAGGTCTTCGCTCTTTGTTGAACACGAGATTGGACACTGATCACGCCTTGGTTCAAACCTTCCTCTCTGTATGCCTAAATGAACGCAGAAAAGCCGTGAGTAGCAGAATGATCGTAGCTCAGCTGGATGATGAGTATGTTAAGTCTGCATTGATCGACCAACTTCCTTGACAGTTGTTGGAAGAGTACAACGTCAGTCATTCTGATGAAGCGTGGCGTTGACTCCAATCTGCTATCTGAACAGCGTTGAGCACCGTAGTTAACTTTGTATTTAAGGTTATCAAGGGTGAGTGGATCTCAGCAGTTAATTGTGGGTTAATGGATGAAGGTTGCTCTAGATCGTTAATTGCATAAGTAAGAAAACGTAAACCATAGAATCCCGACTCTGGAAGCTGATGTGCTCACTGGAAAATCTGAAGTTATTGTGTTCGACTCCTGGTAGGGTCATGGGTGGACTGGGGATTCTCATACTACGGCGAAACAGTTTTCCAGTGCTACTAGGTTTAAAATGGTTTTCTAACTGATATCATTCCGTTGTCACCATTATCACTATTGATTCATCTACAGTCATGCAATGCTTTATGTAAAGCCACTGTATATAATAAGTTTGAATTCTGGTGGCAATAATGATCGACTCTTGAAATTTTTAACCTGATTAGAATAAGAAATAGCACAAAATCACTAAATCACTGACTATCGTTTCTAGGACTATAAAGAATTGTAGGCGTCTTGCCTAATGTTATTGATATTTTAGGAATAAGTGGCTGAACAGATTATGTTGCACAAATTGTAGCTTGTGAAACATATTCGTTTGTATTTGAATTTCCTACAGATCCATACATTTTTATCTGTACATCCACTATGTTATTCATTTTAGTGTTTTCTACTTGCGTTGGTTTCCTTTTTCTGAACTGTTTCAGAGCCCAATAACGTTGATAAGTGTTTTCATAAGAACTTATTGCTATTTATTGATATACTTGTTATTCTCCGTCGTTTTATTGGATCGAATTATTCTACCTCTATTGGTATATGGGCTCCTATGCGGATGCTTCGATATTGCCTGGATGTTAACTATGTCAATTCACTTGGTTGTGGCTGACGAGTCCTAAACAGGACGAAACGCTTGTCCTAGATTCTTCTGGTAGACACAAGCAAGCAAATTAACATAAGAACTTATGTTCTTTATTTATCTTACACGACTATTCCTAATACCATTTCCACTCAACGTTTTGCGATAAAACTAAACCGATGACTATATAGTGTTCCCATAGTATCATAGGGTCATAGTATCATAAATGAATTACTAGAATATGATCACATGTTGGCAGATAGATCTCCGTTGAACCCCAGCCTCATCATGAAAGCACTCAACTTTTGTTTAAAGTCGACACTCTTCACGTTTAGAGGAAAACTATACAAGCAAACTAATGGAGTAGCTATGGGTTCTCGGTGTCCCCTATCGTTGCAAACCTTTTCATGTCCCACATTGAATCAACCATCCTTTCGAACATCATCAAACCGCGTATTTGGCTCAGATACGTAGATGATACTTTCGTGATTTTAAAAAGACCTAGCCTCAGAACCTTTTCGAAGTTAATCAACACTTATTCTCCACATATCAAGTTCACATGTGAACATGAAAATACAAGCAGGGAACTACCTTTTCTAGACTGTTTAGTTAAAAGGAATGAAAATGGAAGTTTAAGTTTATCAATTTATCGTAAACCAGCACATTCAAATCGATATCTTGATTTTAACTCAGCACACCCACTCAGTGCTAAACTTTCACTTGCTTGGAACTTATTCAGGAGAGCCAAAAAGCTCATCATGAATGAAGACGACAGGCAAACGGAAGTAAGTAATATATCAGATATATTATTTTCCAATAACTACCCGAGAAACGTCATTCAAAAGACCCAAAAACATGAACAGTGGGACCCAAGAGTAAATTCAAATGATGATTCTTGGATTGGTACAATAGTTCTACCATTCCGCCAAGGTACAACCGAAGAGTTACAAAGAATCTTAAGAAAGCACCGAATCAGGACCTTTTACAAGACAACCATCACTCTGAGGAATGCTCCAGTCCACGTAAAAGATAAAGTCCTTTTTACCTCCACACAAAATTGTGTCTACAAACTAGGCTGTGTTGACTGTAATGCCTATTCTATTGGAGAATCATCCCGTGAGATCCTCATTAGGGCTAAAGAACATGCAAGCTACACAAAACGACCGCCAAACAATCCCGTAGAACTAGAGAACCTACAAATCAAGTCAGCGATTGCAGTTCACGCCATCATCTATCACAGTCACAAAATCGATATTGAAAATATTAAAATTATTCAAAAGGGATTTTCAAACTACAAAGAAAGAAGAATAATAGAGGCATTTCACACCATGTTGAATCCTAATGCACTCAACAGAAAGGAAGGCCTAACTATTCAGCCAACCTGGACAGTATTTCCAAAAAGAAAAACAACACATCACACACAATGATCTGGTCAAAAGCACATACATACAAACAAACCGAATTTTGTCACCCAGTCACATAAACACATTCATTTCACCTTGATCTCCAGACTAATTAAACTCAGAAACAAAGACAATTTTTGAACGCTTC